TCTGTCTGTGTGTTGCTCATCTCATATTCTGTAGTCATCAGATTCTTTATAAAAATGATTATTACTATTATTATTATCATTATTATGTGTACAGGAGCAACTTCTTGATTTGCTTTTGTCCATGATTCCTTTTAGTTCGATCGACTTGGTACTGCTTTCTTTTTTATTTTGTTTGATTTTTTCAACATTAACCTGCTTAGTTATCAATAATGTGGACAAATTAGATCCACGTTAATAAGCCGTAAGAAGTGAATATTAATTTGTGCAGCATGTTCTGTTGTCCTCATTCCAGTATTGAATTCTGTTTATTTTTATTGTCATTAAATTAAGATATTCCACTTTCACAGTTAATAGACATAGTTAGTTATATATATTTTTTTCGAGGCGTTCTGTGAATAACGTGTGTTTTTTCTTGACTTCATAGTGCACGCGTGTGTACTGCATCAGAATGGAATTTGTTAAGTCTAAGGTGTTGATGAAGTTTTTCTAGACTTTAAGATGAAATTCAAGCTAAGAAAAATCGTTTCAATGAACGCTGTGTCATTATCTTTTACACCTTAGAACTTTGAATCTATGAATTAGTGCTTGATTGGAGGTGTTATTAGGTCAAAGTCTGTTATATCTCCCGATGTTTTGAGAAACCAAGAAATATCAGTCCCTCTCAGTAACTATATGTGCTAACTCACCATCCATTGTAGAAAGAGACATAAGTTTTGCCCGAGCCACACTTCCTAATTAAGTAAGTATATACCCTCTCTCGCAAGCTTCATATGGTCTGAAAACGTTGCCCTCTGACAGCCTGATTTTTGCAGCACTCACGTGTAATGTAAGATTGTACAAATGACAAATACTGTCTACATAAGTACGCTTCCTTTATTATTTTGTCCCTTGGTAGTAATACAGTTACTACTTTTTCTTCCTGATCGTGTTCCCATTTTATTTGAAGATGAAGTAAAATGCTTTCTGTTAATCATCTTTATTTTAGATGTAGTTCCTTATTTTTTATGTTGGTTGGCTTTTTATTTATTTATTTTTATTTTTGTGTTCCCCTTATTTTTTATTATTTCATTCTGTTGTTGTACTCCTGCTGAACACACTAAGGCATGAGAAGGAAACGATTGGAAATAATGTCATTATATATATGCGTATATATATATATATATATATATATATATATATATACGCAAGCATCCATTCACGACATTGTTTTTAGTATCTTGTATATTTCTTAATTAACTATCATTAAGCTGACATTTTCTAAGCTTCCCATAAATTCAACATTGGACTGATGAAGCTTACAGACCTTGTTTACCAAATTCCCTTTCTCTCTTCTTTATTTCTTTGCATTAACTGATGGTTTTTGTTTCGCTGGATGACCTAAGGAATGAGAATATTTATGATTGTTATATGATGGAAAGATGAAGGAGGATTATTTATCAAATTAAATATTTACCTAACTAAATATAATCCTTATAATATTTTTATGACAAAGGGATAGAGTGGACCGAACAGTGTATCATATATCCATTGAGGCATAGTTTAAATTTGCTCGAATTAACAATGATTACGTTCACAGATGAAGAATATATGGATAAAGTTCAGACTAACATGCAACAGCACAGAATGAAGACATACTGTTGACCTACTAAAGACAAGTCTTACTACTAGTCTACTAGAAGATAGAATGAAGTGAAAATGGTAGAACCCATTTTACTACAACAACAACAGCAACAACAAAAATTACCACTATATTCATAGCACAATATTAGAAATATTTTGTTGAGATTGTTGTAACAGAAGAAGATAAGAGACTTGGTAACAGACTCCTTTGTTAAGGAAAAACACATCATATCTATACAATTTTAACCACATTAAAAGTCGGTTAGGTAAGCGAAAAGTAAGTCGTCCTGAATGGTTGGCGGTTGGTTCAGTGGTTAAACAAGTTGTCTAATGAGGTCTTTTCATGTTCACAACGTAAACTAAATCCATATTTGAGGAACAAATACTTCTCACTCTGCAGTCATTGACTAAAAATGTTGGCTGCTTCCTATCAATCTGGATCAATGTACAATTATTCAAGGCAGTGAAATGAATATAGTCCATAAGGGTCATATAGTTATAGTTAACGGAACTATGGACGCTGAGGAGTTGTTTCAATTGTGTGTGTGTGTGTGTGTGGGACTGTGCAACAGTGCCCACAATTAGGCCACATAACGAAAAAAGTCACTCAATGTCATGATTCTTATTTGCGTGACATGGGAATTGATTGCTCCCTTCGATTTATACCTGTACATTTGTAGTAGAGACGTAGTAGTATCAACAATTGAAACAAACGTGTATCAACTGATAAAAAACCTAATAACAGTTTTTTGGGGAAATAAAAAGCTCAATAATATCACAGCTTTTGAATTTTTCACGAGTTTCTTATGATTTTACAATATTTCTATATGAAGTTTAATATAGTTGGAAGGCAAAAGAATCTGTGAATATTTGTTTCTGTGCGACAAGCCATCATCATTGAGAAAAATTTGATTTATTTCATTATAGCTGGGTCTGAATACATAACTGTACTAGTTTATCTGCTTAATTCCTCTAACACAGTAGTCTTTTAAGTACTTGTATGGCTTTTTGTAGACGTTGTATTCTTTTATGTTCACATAAAAGAGTCTTTTTAAAACTTCTTATAGATGTGAAAAGCATAAGGTAATTATACACCTTTTTGCTTATACTATGCTAATAATTCAGTTTCAAACATACTCGGGATAAGATTCAAGTCGATAATCCTATCCGTTTACGTGAAATGCCCTCACAAGCTCAATACGACTGAGAGTGACTCCATATCAAACAACCAACAATATGCATCTTACTGATAGTCTCCATAATCTGGTCAAGAATCCTCTCCTATCTTACACATGCTGGGAAAGAAACAACTTCAGGTTGTAGGCTTCACTAAACACAATCAATGTTCTGGAGATTACTAGGGCATTGAGTTTAGAAGGTTTGTCACTAGTTGGGTGGAAAATAGACTAACAACCGGTTAAATGTTTAGTCATGGATTGATGACCAACGGAGAAGAATCAAACTAGATGAATTAACTCAGCTAAATTCATACATATCGTTTTTATTCCTCTTCATGAACATACTTTCAGCCCAATGAAAGTGATTAGGCATCTAAGCTAATTTAAATGAAAAAACACAATTGGTTTCCCGAAAAATTCAGCTGGAATTTTCATTAAGAATTCCTAACTATATGGATTTTCTTTCTATCATATACATATGTTGTCAGCATAAACACTTGTTAACATGAGAATTTACTTTCCATTACAATTGATAGAATAATTTCTGTTTTTATTCACAAAACTTCATACACATATGCATATACACATACGCGCATACAAGTTCATTTCCTCCGGATCTCATGTGACCAGTTAGTACTACTGGATTATTACTATTATTATTATTATTGCTGTTATTATTTTTCAAAAGATTCATTGAACCAGAGGGATGCAACAGTCAGTAAAATGAAACAAAAAATGTGCATGATAATTGTTGATTCATGAAATTAACAGAACAAAGTGAAAGGGGGCTCTGACCTAGGAGATTCTTTTTAAAACTGAGTTATCTATTTAAGCAGTTGAAGTGATTAATAGTGTTTAGCTACTGAGTTTATTGTTTTTCTTTATTATTACTACTATTATTGTTAGGAATAACTATAGCGTTACTAGGGTAACAAAGTTTACGCCACTATATATATATATATATATATATATATATATATATATATATATATAGTCTGACATTAAACTGAAAAAGAATTGTATTATTCAAACTCTAAAAAGATATTTAAATAAAACAACTTTTGAAGAAGGAGAATACCGGGATGAAAATAATTAGAAAACAATTATTTCATCTTTAGTATGTAATAATAGTAACAATACTGAAGATCAGATTGTCCGTCTGGAAAGAATAAGTAACAAGGAACCCTAACACGTAGAAAACCAGTCACGAATCTATTGCTCAACAAATATGCAGAAGTGTATGTAGATTGATTGAATATATGCTGAGGAAATCCTGAAGTGATATTAAGCGTTAAACCGTTGATCGGAATCCGAATGGGAAGCGACGCATTTGACATCCAAAGGTGAAATGGATGAAGCCCTGTGAAGAGGAAATAAAAGCTTACATGTAGTTGTGGGAGCAGCTGAAAGTGACGACAGAGAATCGAGTGCAATAGATATGTGCTGCTGAAGCCCTTTATTCTCCGTGGAAGACAATGAATAACTGATAAATAATAATAATGAAGATCAGGTGTATGGACTTAATTAAAAGGTTCTTTGCCGTGATGATTCTCACTCAACTTGGTGAGAGAAAAACACTACAGGTAAATAAAAACGACACAGTTTAAAAAGAGCTGATTCGCTCTTGTAGAGCAGAAAGTGCTTTAACAGTGTTACTAAAACACTATTGTGAGCTCAGATTTTCTATTCCACTGAATTTTTATCAGTATCCATAAGCTGCAGCAAACAACAAGTGTATATTTATTTATACTGTATTTTTATTAGCTTGTGGTAGGTATATGTCAATTGATAAACGTTAGGAATACCGTTTCACATAATTCTTCTCGATTTTATATGCAACTTTAGTGTTTATTTTGAAATCTTTGGTTCTGCAAAAGATGGAGTTACCGTCTATGCAGCATTATTTCGTTATCTTACATTTATTTGGCAATCCTATTTATGATTTCAATGATCTTAGATTCGTGTATAAAGGGTAAAGGAAACACAGTGTAATCAAAAATGATTTTTATATCAAAGATACTACTCAAATGTGAAAAGTAGGCAAAGTATTAGAAAAACTTTTTCAAGTAACTATAACCTATAGATGGGAATGTGTTAATAGGCAAACAATACGTATGGAACTGTCATGGTAACTAACACCCAGTTTTTAATCTCTTGTCTGAATGATTTTTAATTTTCTTCTTAAACTAAAACGCAAAACAGGTTTCTCTGGCCCGACCAAGCTGTGATTCAATAAAAGGTGCAAATCTATATATCTCTGGTCTACCCAAATTTATGACTGAATCAGATTTGGAGAAGTTATTTCATCCTTGTGGAAAAATTATCACCTCAAGAATTCTTTATGACACTAATACTGGTAAGTGTGAATAAAGTGCATATTCCCTACTTCCCAATAATATTATCCTAACTGCTTATTCATTATAAAATTCAAACTGCAAATACTTTGGGATCAGCTTGTAGCTACGAGCTGGAGCATGCGGATGCCACCCAGTGATGGACAAGAGAAGAAATGAAACGCAGATTTTATTGTATTGACGAATTGCTAACTGCTTTTTTATTCCAAATCGCATCCTATTATATGCGTCTATTCTACAAACGCTTTTTGCAGTCTCTGGATAATCTCACTGATATTTCCTAAATGATTAGAACTAATAGTATGTAATAAGAGTCTGAAAGGGATGGTACGATGAGAAACGAGATGGACGCATGCACACAAGTTTACACACTAAAAGAAGGGAATATAACGTATCTGATTGAAGCAGCTTCGAATCTCAGAGGAAAAATCAGTTCCTTTGACATCTCCGATACGCATTACTGAGTGCCAACAAGCACGAACACTGGAACAAGGACTACTGACCGATTGTTTTCAGTCACCTAGCACCGGAGGTAATCATGTCCGTTTGTGATGTAGAAACAAATGACATCAGCTTTTAATCAGGCTAACAAAAAAGAAACGTTATTGCTGCTTACATCTAGCACATGCACACGTATAATAATTCAGTATATTTTAGCTGCAATAACTGGACAACTCACACCGGATATTATGTTGTACTTGAACATCTCAGTGATGTCACTCATTGAATACGGTTTTTAAGCTCCATTAATCACAAAAATAAGATGAATGGGTCTTTCTATGCATAGTCTACTGGATAAGGGATAAATGCAAACACATTATCTTTAGAAATGAAGTGAAATTAATTGCCAATGAAAGTACACCATTAGTAACGTAGGAGTGTGGTGACAGCTGTCTGCAAGCCGAAGTTGTAGACAACAATTTACGTCCCAAATCAGGATCATGAGAAAGAACAATAATAAAGCTTAACCTTGAGGAACTCAACAACCAATCAGAGCAGATTTAACGTGTGTAAATACGATCTGCAGATATATGGCGTAACTTTGTAAGCAACGGTCACATGCAGCACAGAATAACCTTCAGCAAGAAAACAAACAATCAGAAGGTGTTGCTTCTCTGCTAACAATAACGAATAATAATGTATATAAAAATCTATAAATATCTCTTGATTTTCTGAACAAACGATCTGTTGTCTGGCCCTTGTCTTCTGTCGTTACAAGAGTAGAATTTTAGCACCAGGGGAGACTATAATTCCACATTAGATAAGTTTGTTCGATGTAACTCACAGTGATGCAGTATAAATAACTGGATGATTTTTCCACAGCAAATTATTTCTCATAATCACATCAGCGCCTTCACACAGCTTCATAATTTTCTTTTTTGATTTTTTTTTTCCTCTCCTCGTTTTGTATTTGCGTTGCGTCAGTTCAACTGAACATGTTTTGCATTGATTTGATTCGTCATCCAACTATTAATAATCTGTATGTTAAATCGAATAAACTTACCTAATATGGAATTATGCCGTTAACAAATGACATCACTTACAGCTGTTATAAATACTCAAAGCATTTAAAGAATACTTCCAAGATATGCGCTACCACTAGATAGTTGAGTAGTATGAGCGACTGTGTATTTAACAAATTATGTATAATCAAAAGCATAAAACTGTTTTTTTCCTCACTCCACTATTATTTTCCTTCTCTAGGTCAATCCAAAGGTGTAGGATTTATTCGCTTCGATCAACGCCATGAAGCTGAACTTGCCATACAACAATTCAATGGTTACCGTATAGGATCAATCGCAGACAACCCGTTGGTTGTAAAATTTGCAAATATTCCTACATCTGCCAAAAATGGTGCAAAGGATTCAAACTCTGCACTTGTAGCTTCAAATAATAGCATCAGTAACAATAGTCTTAATATTAATAATGGTAATATTGATTACCAGTATCAAAATGCAACAACAGCTTTATCCTCTCTACTGAATTTTAACAAACTAGCCATGGAAGCCGGTGAATTGCATTCATTTTTAACTCCAGAGATATTGAATAGTGATTCACCCTATGACATATTTAACACTTCAGCAATGCCTCAGTTAATAACAGATGCAAATGGTAGGCCTACACAACGAGTAGGTGGACCTCTACGTCAATCGTCAGCACGCAAACTTCGGTAAGTTATCTAGTGTATACCACAACAACAGCGAAAAGTTAATAGAAAACTGAACAAATACAATTACCAACTCATCGATCTGACAAATATGTAAACAGGTTTGGTGGAAGAGTTATTCACACACCACACAGAGATAGAAAAGGCTATTTCTATTAACCAGATTTCCAACTTTCTGTGTCTTTAATGATAACAATGTACATTATGCAGAAGAATTGTCACATGGCCTAGTTAATGAGAAGTTTACTGACACGACCAGTGGTTTGAAGCACATTATGTAATCAAGTTTCTCTTTGCAAACTAGAAATATTTAGAGATAAAAAGGTTTTTGAAAGAAATTAAACAGTGAATAAATTCTGTTAAGTCATTACTATAGTAATATTCCAGTACCTTTGTATGACTATGGACCATGCATTTTAGTGATACAGACGTCTAGTAATTGTCATTGAAATCCAGCTTATTAAATTAGTTGGACTTAATGGACCGTGAGCCACCCGCTTATTTATCAAAACTTAAAAAATGGGCCGAATTCCGAACCTATTAATTACAGTGTAGAATTTCACATATCTGGATATATTTGGCTAGCTATACGACTGAAAATAGCTTAACTAACACTGTCTATCTGAAATAACTATCCCATAACTCAATAAGCCAGGACTTTAGTTTTCTTCTTACAGTTAGAAAAAGGCAAATGAATCCCACCAGAACACCAAATTAAACTAATTCACACTTATAACACATCCTGTGAATTACACAAAAACATTGTTGTTTATATGGGAATATTGAATGACACGAACAGTTGAAACCACTTAAAATACTGTGTACTGTTATGCCTAGCATTGGTGTCGAAAATTAGACAACTTATTACAAGTTCAAAGGCAAAACTTCTGGTGACTTTTATTACAAAAACCTAACACTGAATGAGAGACACTGACCTACTGTATCACTTATCTGAAAAATTCAAATTCTTGCTTCGTAGATTCGATTAGTGATAGCAGTCAAGACACTACCCTGAATACTAAAACGCATTCTCAAGCAGATAAAGCATCATAATGCCATAAGATACCTTTTCTTAAATGTGCATATCGAACAGAAGTTAAAAGATAAGCAGAAAAAGTGGAAATAATATATTCAAGAGTATGAGAATGCCAATGAACAAAAGCAAAGAAAGTGGTCCTTAATATTAATTTCCAGTGAACTTCAGCCAGGCAAACTCCTCTCCCCTATATGGCTAAGTAACTTCATGAAAAAGTTCAAGGAACGCGCTGGTGTGATATAATTATCACATATTACAGCCATGGAAATTTATAATTTCTTCCACCCACCCACCCCACCCCCTGCATGCTTATCCTAACTTATAATGTCGTTGTGTGTCAGTCGACTAAACACAGTAGTACTAGAAAAACAACAATAATCAAATGAGTGATGTCATGTTCGGCCTTCTAGTTTTACTGGAGCACAAAACAAGACAGAATGCACTATTGTATACAACACTTGATCCTTGGTGGGCAAACGAGGATCTTACTGACATCAAGAAGTGGAAAGAAAACACCATCCCCACAGATTTCCTGTTCTTGCTTAACCTACAAACATATATTTCTCAGTTGACTGTGAATTATGACAATAAAAATATTTAACGGTTTCTAACTTACAACAATGTCTTCAGTAGTGAACCTAAAAAGATGCAGAACTACATAGTTGACAAGGTCTATTCATATCACTATTCAAAATAAGTTTATACCAGATGAAATCAGCAAGTTGTGATGCTGGAAATTAACTACTGCAGATTACATTTCAGTCAGTTGTAGGGAATGATGTAGTCCCTGAATCACGAACTTACTGACATAAACCTACAGTAAGGTAAGTGTGGAAAGTTAGGCGCTGCAATCACAGACATTACGTTCAGTACCAGTTACCCCATAGCTGACTTAGATTTCACAAAAAAACATGAAATAAATGCTATAATACGTCGGCTTCTATAAAAAGTTTATAGAGTATTTTCCAGAATAAAAGTTAAATTGTCTATTATTTCAGATTTAACCCTTTGGAAGGTTGTGCTATTCCTGTACGTCTCAATTCTTTTGATAATATAAACAATGATGTTGTGACTAGTTTGACATCATCTCCAGCTGCAGCTAATGGATTACGCTTGATGGATAAAACATCAAACTCTGATATAAATGCAACGCTTTCATTGGCAGCAGCTATAGCAGCAGCCGCAGGAACAACAACAACTAACCAACCAGATCCCTTACAAACACAACTATTATCCCAGTTAAATCGGAGTCAGCAGACGATACCAGGAATGGTGGGGTAAGTTAAGCATGTACACGTTTTTCTAACATGTATTTAAAATCATGTTATTTGGTGAACGGTGACTAGCAGTGAAACTCAGGACGTGCATTTAGTCTTATATGGGACTTGTCATCTGGCTGTACCCCAGTCTCCAGTGAGTGACGGTGCTCCCAGTGAAACTCGAACCTACCATCCTATTAAACTGTTGTTTATGTTACGGCAAAAAAAGCAAATGAGACAGCAATACATAACTGATAGCGAATAGTTTAAACGAATGAAAATGTTTCCTTATTCGTTAATAAAAGCTTATGAACAAGTCATGTTACTCCAGGCCCTCGTACTTCAGCACCCAGTCCAGTGAAGTCCTACTTAATTCATTCATTCACATTGCAAGTACAATTTGGGTAAGCTGTAACACCACAGTTATTGTTATCACATGACTGCTAAATTTGAACAGTAATGCTGTATGCACGTCTTAACTTGGGAACTTATAACAATGCGTGCCCATGACTCCGCTAGGGATAGAACCCTGGACGAGTGTGTCGAGCATTCAATCACTGCGACAAAATCATTTCTAACTTCTTCCAACCAGCGATCTCCTGATGGGCTCATCGGTGCGCAATGATGAAGAGCTCCAAACAAGTACGAAACAGCTATCCAGCACTTCCTGGTTTCCAACAGTTCTCTCGCGATCAAACCTGAAATCAAATTCCTGAAAACCAATATTTGAAAATAATTTTTATTATGACCAGAACTACGACCTAGTAGACTATGAGCGAATATACTAACTTAATGAGTTGACTAATCTGTCCTAAGCGCACGTCAACAGCAACAATGACATCCCCAGGCTGCAAAGATAGAAAAAAGACCTAACATTGCTAAGACAGCTTCTACAATCTCAAACAACAGTCAAAAAAGGTTGACAGCTCTTTAGTACATAATGTTTAAAATGACCTTGCGGAGCACTAATGTCATTGATAAATTAAGACAACGAACAACTAATAGGATTTCAAAGGCCATAAGTAGCGTGAGAGAAAGACAGGTAATAAATCAATAAGTGGGGTGGGAGAACTACAAGCAGTTATGTAAAAAATGACATATAGAAAATTAGGTTTGTTATATATCAATTTTATCCCTCTGTAACCTGTTAAGAGCTTCCTTAAAATGGAAATTAGTTATTATCAGCCGAATGTGACAGTGACGAACTTCAACATTTAATAAGCTGTTTAACATGACTGTTCAACATGCCAACTCTTTTCCACCAATGCTCAGTCGCACTACTGTCTTTTTTCATAGAATAACTGATTTCCAGAAGCAATGAATTTTACCATGACTTATCTGAAGAATCTATCTTCCTTTCTCACATTTTAAATTTCAACTTCATCAAGATGACTTTAAATTTTAGCACGACCAACTTTACCCACCTATTCTCTTTAAGTCGATATATGAAATACTAAAACATTTGAAAGATACGAAGAAATTAAAATATTGCATAACAAACAGAAACACTCATAAACATGTGCTCATATAACTTTTCGTATCACTATTTAAGAATAGGAAGTACAAGACGGTAACAACATCCTTAGGAAAACAGATGCACCAAAACCTGCTAAACCACCAATACAGGCCTTACCTATCATCTATAAATAAACTCGCCTTTTTTATTGTCAGTGTCATAATGCAGCTTAACAACAGAACTACTGAAAGTAGAACGATGATTTATGGAATGACAGGACAAGAAGTACGATTAACTTCACTTCAATGGAGTTTACCATAGATATCAAGATCATGTCGCACGATCAGTAAAAGCTATTGGCTAAGAAAACAAGAGTACAAGCAAGAAGCATTTTCCATTTTAGTCTACAAGGAACAGCAAGAAAGTTAGAATAGAATTCCCTTTTAGCAGCTCAGGATTTCAATACAAGCTTGAAATTCAGAGGCAACAAGAATTATGCATGCGTACAGCTCACTTTTTGGTGTGTTTACATTGACAATGCAGAAGACACTCAGTCACATTAACACTGAATGTCTTACTAACAATTTATTTTCCATCTTTAATTTTCAGTCTTACAGTACCATGGCTCGGGAATAATACAGAACCAAATGTGAACTCAATGACAAGTCTTTATCAAGCAAGCAGTTCCCTTGGGGATCTATTTTCTCAGCCTATTAATGTCCTATCGAACATTTCGTCGAACACACTTCCTTATTTAACCGCACAGCTTGGAGCGACCAACACAGCACAGATGAATATGAATATGGAAGCAAATAAGCATCAGAACTTGAGTTTGATCAGTAATTTGAATATTAATCCAAACAGATCATCTTTTCCAGTTGCAGATTCACTAATGTTGAATCAATTGGTACCACATTTTGACATTAATGCAGCAACTAATAAACTACTGCAAAACATTTCGGCTCAAGCAGTAGCAGCTAGTGCAATCGGAACACCGACTAGCAGTTATTTTCCAGTAAACACTACCGGTAATCATTATCCCCCCAATTCTTTAACAGCATCATCATCCACAGTGTTGAGAATTGAAGGCTTAGCTCCTGGGACTGATGAGTCTGTTATTTTACGATTACTTTCCTCATTTTCAAGTGTAATGTCTATACAGCTACTACCGACAAAAGATACCGGCGAAAAAGATGGGAATAATGCCCTAATAATGAACAACAATGGAAATGATAAACAAGAAATGAAAGCACTAGTTATAATGTCAGACCATGAACAAGCAAAATTAGCAATGCATTATTTGAATGGGTAAGCTATATATTTTTATGAATAAAATTTCTACACACATAAATACATACATCAACTGTCTGTAGACATTTTCGTTATCTTTCTACTTAAGAAACAGATCTCTGCGACAAAAGATACTGGGCACCTGCGTCGGCGACTATGTATTGTGTTGTTCCTTTGGGTCATAAGGCATCAACAACACATCTCCACTTTGACTATTTTCTGCTGTCGTTTTTAGCTCGGCCCATAATCTCTCATCTCCTGTTCGCACGATCTCCTCCATGTCACCCTCGGGCAACCCACTTGTCGCTTCCCATTCGGGTACAACTTGAGGGCCTGGCGTGCAATATCATTCAACGTTCTTCTCAGTGTGTGTCTAATCCATACTTGTTGAGCAGTAAATTCCTCGTTGGTTTGTTCCCAAAGCTTTTTGTTGCTGATTCCTGTCGGCCATTTGATCTTCAATATAGAGCGAAGACACCTGTCGATAAAAGTTTGCAGTAGCCTGTTGAAAATGCTTCTCATGAGGCCAGTACCAATTTTCTGACCTATGCAGAAGTACTGACTGACTTCACATTTGTGTTGAACATCCGAATCTTGTTCTTCATGTTTCTGAGTGCAGAAGATTTCCATGCTGATTTCAGATTGACGAAGGTGTCCCTTATCTTTCCAATTCCATAGCATCTTTATCCGTTTTGGCTATGGTTGAAACGACACTTACTAGATAATTGCAGGAAGTAACCTCTTTCAAGTTTCTCCCATCGATAGTAATTGGTGCTGTTTGCGATTGATGTTGGTTGGTTATCTTCATCATCTCCGTTTTCTCTGTGTCTACCTGGAGTCCTATCGTCACTGTCTGATTCTTCAGCCAGCTTTTGGTTTTCGCTTGCAAGTCTTCGAGTTTGTGTGGCATCGGACACAGACCATCCACGAAATCCAGAGTCTTATTATCGATCAAGCGTATTCCTGTCTTCTGGCTCTCACTCCCAGTCTGACGCATTATCTAGTCCACCACAATTAGGAACATCATTGGTGATAATAGGCAGTCTTGTCTTACTCATTTTTTCAATTCAAAAGCTTCACTGAGTTTTCCGTTGTGAATCACCTGACACGTGCCATTGTCACGTAGCTGTTGAATGAGATTGCTCAAGATTTGGGGCACCTCATAGTGTTGAAATGATTTCCTAACCTGGACAGCCTTCCGAGACTCATAAACTGTATGAACATTCCACATCCCCACTCTTATTTTTGCTTTCATCGAAAGAAAATACATCGGCTGACTGACTTGCTGAAGGCTTTACCCGGCTCACGTCATTTCGCCCCTCCGATTCCAGCGAAAAATAAGATTTTTTTGAAATTTTTTTGTACTTTTAATATTTTGGTTGTGAGTGGAAGTTTCTATAGCAGTTTGATTGATTTTCAGGGGTAGGGTCATTAGCCCAACACCTAACCCTCCCTCTTTTCCCGAGCTTGGGACCGGCTAGAAAACTAGCCAGCTGGTAGACTAGGCGAGGTTGTTGGCAGCTATAAAATGCCGAAAACATCGGTTCTAATCACCGGTGTCGGTGGTTTAATGGCGGAATGTTTACCAAACACGCATGTGTTCCGGATCCGATTCCTGGTCACCATTAGACTGACCCTGAATAGAAATGAACTAGACCACTCTGCACGACCTTGTGCAACAGACTCAGTCCTAGGTTATCAAAGGTATTTCAAATCGTTTAGCTTTATAATATCTAGCCACCAGTACGCCTCTAAGGCGCATGCATGATTTCTCATCCTATAAATGCAATCTTACAAAGACATCCATGTTTGAAGACAAAGAGTCATTGCACGTGTTTAGCCTTGAATTCTGAGTCGAACATAGGGCTTCAGCCGCACATCTCAATTTTACCCTGTTCTCTGTCATTACTTTCAATCGACTCCGCGACTATTTACAAGCTTCCATTTCCTCTTCATACGATGAAGTTGAGAGTTGACTGCTATTCTAGGCTCTTTTCGATGATAATGCTTAGTGTTGTGATTTGGTCCACACCAGATTTTTCTTTCCCTGAATCCAGCATGTACCGGAAGTCTTCCATTCAATGCATCTTTTAGTCTTCCGAGGATTATAAGGCCTGTACCTGATTTTTCATTTATATACCGCTAACGTCATGGCACCAAGTGGGATCTAGGCAGATAGACACAATGAAAATCTAGGAATTTGTGGGAGTGTTTATGTAAGCGTGATGGATGCGTTCTGTAGTCCTATATACAAATGGGCAATTTAAAGCTTACTGGATAGATACGCACTTGGATTTCTGTTAGTCTTTTGCCTTAGTGGTACAAAATAAATGCCATGTCGACCATCTGAGACTCGGATGATCAACACATAAAACTATACGATCTACACTAGATGCATACTACCATCCCCAGAAACACCAGAATGTCATTGATTGCAGTGTTTGAGGAGAGTACCACCTGTATGGATATAGTGCGTTAATTTTAAAACTATCTTCAGGTTTTCAAACTGTTAGTTAACTTACGATCATAATGCTGTACCTTTTCAACAAACTCAAGACAATCGTGTTACGAGGAAAAACAACTGTTGAGCTTAAATTTTTACGAGTGCACACAGACGTCGTTATTATTATATTCACAAAACAAACTGAATTCAATATCGCTCATCAGGGTATATTGTCTCACGTTTTAAATCTAGTGATGCAATATACACTGAGGAGATCGTGTATGATAGTAGCACCACACCAAAAAGGAGTTTGCCATACCTCAAACAATTGAATCAGTGTCTTAGCTACAATTTCTTACTTTAAAAAAAAGATGTAGATGAATTTCATGCACCATGTGCCTTATGATTTGAATCGATTTTTTCGGCGTTATTTAAAGTAATGTAGTTTAGTCCCGTATGTCAGTTATGTTGTAAGCGAATGTCGAGGCTTCTTGAAGTCATAGGCAGTGATAATTGTTCCCCAGTATTCATCAAGATAAAAAAATTGAAGCAGAAATTTTCAACGATACACATAGCTGCTTTACACATCACGATGAAGGATAACTTTTTGAAAGCAACCATATATAGCCACTGAAAATGATAAATGTAGATAAGAGCTTCAAACAGTCAGCAGCTGAGTGAAACAAAGACAAAAACAAGTACACGTGATCGTTTAAAGACGAAAAGACCGATAAGGCTTGAAGGAATGTTTGTTAGGACAAACTCATTGTACGTACATAAATTGGGTATGCCACATCTCCAATGCTTTATTTGCACATATTTCGCAAATTGGTCAGATATCACCACATTCGATAGCTTGTTGGATTCTGCAAAGTGTTTCCAACGTTTTCCTTACAGTTGTTCTGTTCTTCGATTGCTTTTCCCAGTGTCCGAAACATATTGTCGCTTTTCTGAATTCGTTTACTGATATACTACTTATGTCTGATTATAAATAGCACTCACCACAATAGTACTGAGAACAAAGTAGTTTATATGTGAGAAAATAACAAAGGTGGTATAATAACAGTGAACTGAATAGTTCCATAGAGTATATAACGCACGATACTTGATTATTTGCGATGATGTCATATAACCAATCTAAAAACCTCACCGTCATTTCACGCAAAGAATAACAATCAAAATATTGTCCAAGCATATAAGTTGAGACAGAGAAGACTTTCAAAGTCCCATTAACAAACCTCTAACCTAAAATAGGAGTGGATCAATATCAAAAGTCGATTTCGCTTGCTATTGGTAATCATGACAATTCATGAAAAATTCCCATTCAAACATTAATAGACAGAAGACCAGTAGTTCAGCGAAGAGACTCTTTTCGGCGAATTCATTTTCATAGCTGTACAATCGTAAATATGTATTGTTGTTTTGTATATGTGTGTGTACATTAAATTTGTCAAACGAAAATACAATTAGTAAGTTCAGGTGAATTGGCTGTTGACATAAGAGGATAGTAACAAAAGTGATGAGTTGTCACATCTCGTCAACACTGGTCATTCCCTCTCAACAAACGCCTCCGTCAGAGTAATCTACAAAATGAAGAACAACCTTCCAAAGACAATACGTTTCCGTGTTCTTTGCATTGCAGAATCCCTAGCCATTCAGTTGGAAGAACCAGACCTATGCATACGAAAGAAAATTATTCAACCACTTCTACTCTCATGGTAACAACTCCGTTGATTTGACTTAACTTTTGCTTGTATGCTTATTTTTCTAACTACTTAAAACCCTTGCGTAATTCCGTATGTTATTTTGCTTCCATGTACACCCTGAGCACAACTCTATCATCAAACTATTCACATTATTACGTAACTCCTCTTTAACAGTCGTTTGTGACAACTCATCACTTTTGTTACTATCCTCTTATATCAACATCCAATCCATCTGAACTTACTAATTGTATTTTCGTTTGACAAATTTAATGTACACACAACCATATATATTTACGATTGTACAGCTATGAAAATGAATTCGCCGAAAAGAGTCTCTTCGCTGAACTACTCGTCTTCTGTCTATCAGTCATGAAAATATCTTATACTAGTCGTCGTTGCTGTTGCCTCAAAAGCACATATACATCGTAGTTTCAGGATTAAGGTTTGTCAACTTGCCTGAGCTGAACTATTCAGAGAATAAGACAACCAGTCCCACCCTTAACCTATAGTTAAATTGTAACAATGGGTATTATAAAATGATACTGATGTGAAAAACAGAATACAGGTGAGTGATTTCTACTTTAGGACATCGAAACAAGTTTGCATTTAATCAAACAGTGTACTATTAACACAAAAAATTAACAGTAATTTTTGAATATCCTTTCAGGTGTACACTACTGGACAGAGTACTGAGAGTATCAAATATTGAGAATACCAATTATAATTTCAATGAATTCTCACAACCGACAAATCCAATGCTGATGCAAGCAGGTTTGTTCGCTTCAAAAAAATAGTCAAGCAAATCCAATGAGATTAATAAGAATCAAAGGAATTTACAACCATTTTCAATGTTTGAATGTTAACACGTTTAAAAGACACTCGCGAAATCGTAACGCACTTTGAGTGAAGACTGTATGCAGAAGGATTGTTTGCACACAAACAGGAACTCATAATCAGTTGAGTGTTTTTTTAAACAAAAATAGATCATGTACAAATTTGTTTTGGAAAATAAAATTAAGATATAACTTTCGCACACTTTTTAATCATATCCAAGCAGCTTACCCTACTGGAAATTGGTAATGGTGCGTATGTGATAAGGGATTTTGACGTTTTTGAATAAGTGGTAATTAGCAAATAATCATACTATACCACGCACGTGGTTCAGGGTTCGATCCCCGATCGATGCACTCCTTTACCACGCTAACCCAGTAATAAGACTGGTAAATAGGGAAGGTTGGGCATGAGGCTAGTAACCATATCCCTTAAAAGCAAACACTGCTACCGAAACTTCAACGCTGTAGCCTGAAGCCCTATGTCCCACTGGGAATGTAAAGGAATGAATTACATAATATATAAAAATAACCATAAAAGTGTCAGACCCAGTAATTTCAAGAAATTAGGGAAATCTTATGATTCAGTATTCATCACTGTCCGAATTAAAGCTAAAATTTGTTGAGAAACCGAGGAACTATTTGTACTAACATGACTGCAGCCCTTAGGGACTATACTCTCTTACGTGAGCAACGACAAACACTTCCTCTGTGATAAAACGCTTATAATAAGATTGAGATTCTACAAATGATCTTACAAATGATATAACGACAATGTTACACAGTATCTACATGTTACACTACGTCTATGAGTGAGCTGCGTTTATTGTGTCAATGCTACACGGCTTCCGAACCTCATTATATGTAAAGGCTTTGAACTCAGCGCATACTTGCTGAAAGTCAGGAGACCAATCCTCTAAAGAAACACTTATACGCACCATTACTCAACTATAAGCACTAACTACTTGAGTTGCAAGACGAAAAGCAGCAATCTAAGGTGACACTAACTACTAAATTTGACACTTAGTATGTGACTGTTTTATATTTTTAATATTTCATCACTTTCCAATATTCACTACATACTAGTTACGAAACTGTCGAGTTAATTTGTAAACAACCCTGCTTGGATGGGCGAAGTTTTAAACGTAGAACTTCGCACAAACGTGTAGCAGTTCAAGTTACTACACTCCATAAAGCACAAAAAGGTAGAGAAAAAAATCAAGGAGATAGGCAAGAGAAAGAATAAGCAAATTGGGAATAACGATAACCAGATGAATCCAGAGGTTTTATAAAAACAATGAATGCATCTCCACCCCTCAGAACCACTTTGAGCCACATCAATAAGTCACCAACTATTGGCTTCCCAAAGACCCCAAGCAGACAGTGTAGACCCACTTGTGATCAACAGTCAGTGACACAGTGGATTGATGACACGTTTTGTCCTGAGCATCCCTAACTCTCTCCCAGTTCAATTCCATGTCAGACAAGACAGCTCGACGAAGAAGACAAATAACATTCACAACACGTATCCTAGCCATCTTAATCAACTCACCTTCACAACCTTATCGATTGACTTACCCTCCTTAACTAACGATCTACGTCTAATCTCAATACTACCAATACCAATTAACTCGGGGGAGCGAACGCAAACAACTATGATAAAAGACAGCTAACCTCTTCAAGTCTTCTTTCAGCGGCCACATCTCATAGACACAAAGAATGAAGCTAACTGCTGTGCTGGACACACTCCCTTTGATCGGTAGCCAATAACCACGTCTATGTAAGTTAGCATATGCCTTATTAGCCTGTCCTATCCATGTTCAGATTTTGTCAGTAATCGATCAGGTAGAGTTGAAGAAGCTTGCAAAATAAGCGACGCTGTCAAAACGCCCAAACACTTCACTTTCTGTCTTTAAAATAGGAGTCAGTGTACACTGGTTTTGCATTTGAAGGGAGAGAAGTGTATGCCAACCATACCCAGATTTCTGCTCAAGAACACTGTCTTCAACTAGGACTATTTCAAATTCAGACTAGAAATCGACGACAGCTAACCTGGTGACAAGTCAGTCGCCAAGTTAAAACAAATCGAAAATGTTATTTAAAGTAGGATCTACGGAATTCATCGAATTTATATATATATATATATATATATATATATATATATATTACTGTATATTGATTATTCAGCCAGAGAGTTCTACTAAAACCCATTACTTGTTTAAAATACGTATCAGTAAAAAATGTTTCCAATTCCCAGGTAACCAAAGTCAACTAGAATCCCACCCATTAGTTAACCTAAGATGAAATCAGACGAAAATTGAGACAGTGTACATCCCTAACAAATACTGCCGGTTGTCATCACTTCAGATGGTAAATCTCCATGGACGTTTACACGACTGGGCCCCGCCATGATTAGTGCGATACATTTTCTCGGTAATCCCTTCGCTTCCGCAGCACCTCTCAGTCAACGGAGTCAAATGCTGACTTCAGGTTAGGAAGTATGGCTAGTAATTGACGTCGGTAACTGCGCATGTTCCAGAATCTGACCAATACACCCTCGCCTGGGTCTAAAGTCTGTGGTTCTCACTGGTTTGTTCCTCCTGAGCACCACTCCATCTATGGTGTGGTGGTCAAGCTAATTCTCCTTTGACTACCCCACAAGATGCCTCCTTTCTTATAAACTGGGAAAATAAACGGTTTACACTGGTTTAACGGTACTATTTTAGACCCTCACATGTTACCTGATATCTTGGATAGCCTAATCAACAGTAAATCATTACCATCTCTAAACACCTCTGGAGTCATTCCATCAGTCTCTACTGCCTTCCTCCACATTACACTACACATAGCTTTTGCATCTTCAGTTACCGTAGGTGTTGGATGATGGGAAAGTTCAACAGAGCCTATTTTAATGAAGTATAGGGTTTCGCATAATTCAAACCCATATTGAGGAATGTTACACCCACTTCCCACAACATATGTCTATGTATTTGTGAAATTCACGATCAGCGAACGCAGCTGTTGCTGCACCGACCGTCTCAATGTTCTAGGGACTAATTCGTTCGATACTCGTCATCATACCAACTAACTCAGTTGTCGGCTGAATGACAGTAATCGATGTCGCATTTTTGCTTTGATGATCAAATACAAAAGTTTATTCACAGATAAAATAACTCAGTGTTCGCGCATTCCAGATGAATAACGCTTCCGGAAGTTTTGTCCACATGAAGTCTACATTGATCACGGATGACGAATAAACGATTCAACAATACCCCATAACTCCTTGGCATACTTATTTCGCTGGCCAGCTCCTATAAGCGGATAGAAATTTCATATGTGGTAGGCAAGAAGCACTTCACCTCATTGTAATTCATGATTGAGGGCTACAAACTCAAAAGCTTGCTTTGCTTAAAACATAATTATCGCTTAACTACACGGCTAAACTTCCATTGAAAATATGGATGCAGTTTACTAAGTAGATAGTTTTCTGCTGGCACCAGGACATAAAATCTAGATCCGATCTTTATACAGAATCAAGATTAAAATTGAAAAAATCTATTTACCTCCAGATGTAAAATAATGATTAGGAATTATATTTATAACACATAACGGACACCCGTTGGAAATCTGTCTATTCACAGGAGGATAAAGTGCAGAAACTTCTAAATACTATCATAATACAAAAGGGGAATTTGAAAAACTCCATACAAATTATTGTGAAGACGATAAGGGGATGTATGACTTTTTTTAACCAGTGGTCAGAAATTTTTCGTGTTTACACATTTGCACACAATAGCTCTGGTGTAAAAATATTATTCATCTGAAAAAGGAATTGAATCTTCTCAATAGTTAGAAATTATACACGACGAGAGCGCCTGCTTGAATGAGGTCGACGTCGAGGACCGGCCGGTGGACCACTAGATGTACCAAAGGTGAACGGATTGGCGCTGACGCTAGTATTCGACCCTGTTTGACCAAAAATAAACCCAGTATCTTGCTGAGGATTAACAACACTTGACGATGATGCTGGAGATTGAGAGAAGTTGAACCCTCCAAAATTGCCCGAAGAATTGTTACTTGGAAATACAGTAGTGGGAGCAAACTGAAAACTAGTAGCACTGGTGATAGCAGGAGCAGCGGCGGCAGTAAGTGTCGAAGTTGACTTTGTCGGTTGAGATGATACAGCTGTTGACTGCTGGCCAAACGAAAATAAAGGAGCAGATGAACCAAAAGAGAATGTTTGACAGACCGCAGTTGCTGGTGCCTTCGGTAAGGAGCTAGAATTACCAAACTGAAATAGTGTACTGGAGGAGGTTACAGAAGTTGTGGATGTCGTTACACTAGTTGGACTGAATGAAAACACGTTAGTAGTGACTGCACTAGATGTAGTACTAGGTGTTAACTGACCAAAACTGAACTTCATAGACGGTGAACTTGTAGATCCAAAAAGCTGACTATTTGCTCCAAATAAGGTTGAAGATGTTGAAGGTGTTACACTTGCTGGTTTAATCCCCAAAGTGAAAGGATTATTCACGAAAGATGTGGATTGAGACACCGACACAGGAGTGGAAAATAATGCTACGCTAGCAGTACTGACAGTAGATACAGACGTTGGGAATAAGGAGTTAACAGTGGTAGATCCGGTAGAACTAAATAAAGATAAACTAGAACTGCTAGCAGCTGGAGATGTGAAATTAAACAGACCTGTATTATTTGTACTGTTAAGAGATGTTGCTGTAACAGCAGACTGACCAAGAGTACCGAACACAACCGGTGTGGTAGGCTTAGATACATTGGATCCGAATGCAAAGCTACTTGTTACAGATGCAGGATTGGAAAACGAACTCAGAAATGATGATGCAGAACTTGAAGTGATGCTAAGGGATGGGACTACATTAGGCGAAGAAACAGTTGTCTTGGGTGCACCAAATGTAAATATTGAAGCTGTTCCTGATGGAAGCTGAGAATTACTTGTACCAAAGTTGAAAGATTTACTACTACTACTATCACTCTGAGCTGAAGTTCTAGCCACAAAAGTTGATGCACTAGAAGTCTCTAATGGTGTAGAACTCGGTTTTGCAAAAGAAAATCCACTAAATGTAGATATGGGCTTCACGGACCCAAAAACACTTGAAGTATTTGTTGTTGATGTTGCACTTGAAGCTAAAAATTAAAAGCAAACACGTGTGCATTAATGTCTGATATAACATCATGCTTGGGAATATCATCCTGTTGAATCCCCTAACAAATAAATAGAGATATTAAATCTTAATAGTGAGGGAGCCTTATAAGATAAATTGGATGTTACCGTAATGCTTTCAACTTCACAGTTAACTTTTATATTCATGAAAAATTCCCATCCGAACATTAATAAAAACAGTTCAGCGAAGAAGCTCTTTTCAGAGATACCCTCCTTCATGAAAAAATTGCATCTAAATGCGATTGTACATCTGGAGAGAATGAATTAGCTGAAAAGAGGCTTTTTTCAGTGAACTACTTTTATATTCGTTGAAAATGAGATAATTAGTGGAAGATTGAATGTTATCACTTCTAGAGGTGGCAGCTGCTGAAATAGCTCCATACGTTTTATGGTGTTCTGAAGAATAAAGCTATATTTACTAACAATTATAGTAATGTTACGCCAATATTTTAACAATACTTATTTGTTCAACAGTAAAACAGTTAGACTAACACATATCATTTGTACTGGTTGTTATTAGTCTTCTATTTCAAACTGTAGTATAATTTCATTATAATTATTCCAGGAAGATCGTAACACCTACGGCCTGGAAACCTATAATGTAGTATAATTTTCCGACTTTTTTGCATACATGGCCCTTCTGCATAGGCGTTAACTCCAAAAAATTAATAATTACAGAGGGTTCAACCATTTAGTATAAAGAATTCATATTCATTGGGAAATCTAAAACCCTCCGGCCATAAGTTCTTCACTATAGCTTAGAGTCTGCCAGCCAAAAGTAAATTCGATCCCTCTTACGGTTAAAACCGAAGGATTCAAATTTTCTACTAAGCGTTTTATTACGTTAATAGAATCCAAAGCCCACAGGCATCAGGCAATTTACAGAACAGCTTAATCGTCTTTCAGTATCATCAGAATACGTATCGTCACTTTTAAACATCCTTCTACATTTTGTTTTGATGAATACGAATGGTCAGTAAAAGTTCTACTGCGGCAAGCAAATAATAGCTGATAATCTGTTATCTGTATGAAGCAGTTGGCTTAGGCATTCGATTTGCAGCCAATAGGTCACAGGTCCGAGTCCCGCTTTACTTCAGCTCGGGCAAGTGGGTAGTATCATCAGTCCTCACCCATGTTCCATGTAACTGAGTTCAAACATGACAGCTGCACGAACAAATGATTTAAGAACTACCAAATAGTCTATCAAGCTGATCGTGTCTACAATAAATATTATATAAATATTTCATGGCACTTATTTTTTAAAACCTTAGTTGTGAATATGATGTTAATCACACCGGTTGATTTATTCACAGATCTGCTCTGTGATTTATGATGCACTTATTTAACATACTACTCCTAATACAACTCAAACATCAACAATAAGCAAGAACATTAACCATGACAGTCTGCTTTAGTGCTTACAATAACACTACAGACAAAAAGTTAGGTATTTAAACCGAATAACTTACGAGTGGTTTGTAACGGCGATGAAGTTGAGGAAGTGAGTGGAAACACAAAGGAAAAAGCTGCCGTTGTTGTCACTACTGCTGCTGTTGTTGTTGACGTTGTTACGGTCATAAAAGTCCCCGCACTCGTCGATGTTGTCGGGGTACTACTTGGAAAAGAAAACGCGACAGGTTGAACTACTGAGGAAGCAGTTGGAGTAGATGTAACACCCACTTTTATTCCTGATGCAAAAGCCGGAAATGATATGGGAGATTTTGATGTTGCTACTGTGGAAGTTATAGTTGACTCCTTTGAACTTGCGATTTGTGCAGTACAAGCGGAAAAAGGAAAAGAAAACGCAACTGATGTCCCCTTAGTTGCTGCAACGTTACCTACCGTAGCCGTTGGTATGAGTGGACTTGATACATTCGACGTAGTTGTAAAACCGAAACTTATACTTACAGGCAGACTTACAACTGTAGTCACAGCCACAGTAGTGGACGTGGCAGGCTGAGTGTTCACAATTCCGTTGGTTGAACTGGATACAGGAAAAGCGGGAAGCTTAGATGACGCTGGAGATGATAATGCACTACTGACTGAGGTGATAGTTTTAACTAATGAAGGAGCACTACACACAATGCTTGACGTAAAACTTGTGGAAGAGCTAGAAGATACACTCGGAACTGATGATGACATGGAAGTGACAAGAGGAGGATGCAGATTAGATAAATTCTGAGTGGTAGGTTGAGAAATGCTCTTAATTGCATTGGAAGTAGTGGCAACATGACCTTCTACATTAGGCAAACTAACAGAAACGTGATTACTTGATTTAGCGGAAATAAGTTCACGGATGCGCTTCACTCGTAACTCCATATCAAACCCACCTGGAGAACAATTAAACGATGAACTCTTACTTTGTGAGTGATCCGTTTTGTTGAAGAATGGGTTCGAGTGGCTTTCAAGGTTGGAAATAAATCTATTTAGGGAAGTTATCTTAACAACTGTGGGTTCTGAATCATCTGTTTCAGAATCGCAGTCGGCTGTATTATTAACTGGAGATGGCGTAGAAACATCTAAAGATGTAACTGAGCCCTTGTGTTGGTTATCCTCGCCTGCTATTCTACGAGCTTTACATTTCTTCCTCATACACATAACAGGCAGCGTATCATCTTCTGTAAGACTAACATCACTCGTGTTCGGAGAGTTATCGACTGAATTTTGCTCCGAATATGTTACAGCTTTGGTAGACGCCAAATGAGCCTCAAGTTCAGAAGGTGACATGTATGGAATTTTCCTCCTCAAAGCAGCATCAGACCCACGAGTGGTAGTCCGAGATGACTCAACATGCCCTGTGAAAACAGTGCCTGTTTCCGTTTTCTTATCTCCACATTCATTAACTTCCTGAGTTTGGACATATTTACTATTCTGATCAATGTTTTTATGAGAGACTACGCTAGCATTTGAATGAACATTCCTGATGACGACTTGGTTTTTTAATTGACGCAGTGATGTGAAGGAAAAGCCATCAATATCGGTTGTACAACCTAGGGTAGATATGTCGAACGTACCAGAGGTTCGTCGACGTTTAGAACTTGCAAAATCAACACTATGGGTTGATTCTTCTGCGTTAGCAGTCACAGGTTCACGAAGGCGCTTCTTTGACTCAAAGACCTGTAAACCACGCTGAATGGTGACATCAGAATTTAGAGGCTCAGGTGTTCCAATCAGACTTGTCTTTGTGCTTTCAGCTCGAATAATGCGACGTCTAAGTGCTGGAGAATGATAGTCATTTACAGGCTGGAAGTTGAAGATATTTGGCATATAACTTGGTGAACCTTTTCGTGTATCTTGATTACGAGAAAAATAGGCTGAAACGTATGATTGTTTTGAACGTTCAGATGAGTTTGAACTTGAACCATTTAGAACAGAATGTCTCCTTCGTGAATGATTAACTACACCATTACCAGACTCTTTCGGCAAAAGGATTCTAGAGAAGTATGTCTGGGAAGTTGAGGGGGAATGTGAAGACTGTGACACTGAAGAATGCTGCCGAAACATAGGCAGATATTCTAACCAGCTGCTGCACGAACCTGATAGAAGTGAAAGCCGGTAAATGAAAACACTGAAATTACTTTGTTGAAAACATGAAAAGAATCGAATAAAATCACCTAGGATAAAATCAGTGGAAAGAGACAACCTAAGTGAACTTTGAAGAAAGTTTACTAAATAAATCGACTAACATGAACCACAGAACTACGTTTGCCCGGCCCACCTAATCACAGGATAGGGAAAATGAATTTACATATATATATATATATATATATATATATATATATATATATGTAAGACGGCACTACCATAAAAGAAAAGTTATCATAAACTTCCGAAATTAAGATGACAGTCCCATAGCAATAATCCGATACACTATTAGGATATGACTGAGTTTAGTGAAACACTACATAATGGTAAGTCCTAATAAGGCTGATATCGGTCTAAAATAAAATATTTGGTACTGTTTATTTTAATACTACTATGCGTGACTTTGTTCATCTGAGAAGTATACTTCACCAGCGTACAACTTCCAGTCTTGAATTAGGGCTTTACAAGTTTGAAGTGGACAGTTCAAGTACCGCACCCACCAACGGTGATAGTTCGCCGGATAAAATACACTGAGTATCCGAAACTAGTAAGAATTCCAACGAACAGCTTAAAACTGGTCACACTTATATAATTACACTTAATGAATTTTCGAATACCAAATATAAAAATACTTCACCTCAGTTGGTTAACAACCATGCCACTTTATGAGAAGTTTTGTATTATTCAATTTCTATTTTTAGCAGCTCTCTCGAAATCCATTATTAGTGAGTATTATCCAAATGAACACATGCAAACAATGTCCCAATAAATACTGATAACACTTCTGTAGTTGACAACTACAGAGAATGAATCCCATTATCTTTAACATCTTGATACCCTCGTCGTGAATGAGTAATTGAAAACATGACTAACGAATATCAACCTATATTGTTCACAATCACCTAGTGATAGTAATGTTTCAACCACTCAAATGAAAGGATGGGGAAAATTCCTGTAAAATTCAATCGCGGACTCAACACATCGTAATATCAGCTTCGAAATGCACCGGTTTATGTTACCTAAATTCACAGCAAAAGACAGGCTGTACCAGTGGAGGTAGGAGGACTTGTGAATAATTTATTGAGATGAATGCATTCACGAATGTTCGGCACCTGTGTTGTCATGGTTGTAGTATATTACAGCAGCCATGGTTTCCAGCACCACTCGGATCTAGCACACACCTGTTGTTTGAATGACAGCCAGCACATGCGACTTACTCCAATGGTCGCGCATTCTATGTACCACGCAGTGATAATCACAATTTCTAAACAAATACCACCTGAAATGAATTAGTGGACTATTTTTCGAAGTGTTGGGAGCCTCAAAAGCAGCGACTAGGACCAACTGATGCCAGATAATTTGGTGTCGGTCATTAAGCGCCTGAAAGATTATGAAACCAGCTTTTAGTAACTTCTAACAGTTCTAGATATACGATTTAGTCTCACAGAAAACAATGCTAAATTTTAGGAATCATCACATCTTTTTATTAATATAAGCCAGGTTAGCAATGAGAAACCCGCACTCTCTCAGTTCCAATTCGTCTACGTGAGTTTTGACACGTTCTAGAATTATCTTTCAAAACTATAAAATACTGGCCCATATATTCAACTTCTAACTACAAGTTCAAACTTAACAACCTTAGTGCAGTTTATAATTTACCATAAAGCTGTGATTTACAATTAACCACTAATCTTGTTGACCCCGCATAGTTTTTGTGGTGACTGTACGACATTTGGATTCGATTACAGTTCAGTTTATTCTAAATAAAATTACCAGTGCAAGGCTGAACAGTGCATGGGAAACAAAACATACTGTGAAAAACATAATTCTCTAATTCGAAGCAATGAATTAACATGCTCAAGCTGTAACATCAGTACAACCATTTTACTGATGTATTGATGGAGACTGCCCCACGGAGAATGATATCCCAAGATGACTGTACTTATTGAATTGCGAGATCCATCTTACTGGAAAATGAGGAATTAGACAGAAAATCCTTACAATGGATCAAGTAACGAATACAGCATGTTCTCGCAATTATACCTTATTTCTTGAAGCCTTCAAGTAACATCTAAAACGCCAAGCAGTTTGCCTCGAGGTCGACGACATAACTTGAAGCAAATGCCAGATAGCTGCGAGTACACAAGAAACAAACCCACAATTAGTTTCAAGCGATGCAATTTAACACATACAGAGTGCATTAGGGGATTAGATATAAAATGAGTATCGGTTTATAATTACGCAGTGTAAATTGAAAATGTATGAGGACAAAAATATTCGGTGATAATACAAAATTTAGACTTTTGACTCCATGTATAGAATGCTAACTAAACTCTAAGCACAAAAAAATGGGAAGAAATTATCTTCACGCTTAGCAACGATACGGAATTAAGTGAAGTTCTTGATACAACAGTCATCTGCAACAACTTTCTAATCATTCAGACGGCCGATTACGATCTCCATTCATAGTGATACTATACAGTATGTGCTGGTCCTTGATTAGGGCCGTTCATTCGTCGAATATTAGTTGAGGATGTTCCTCCAAAACGTGTCCATGAATAATCGATTCAACGCCATATTCCTGTGACAGTAGAATAAACACAATCTTCCTAATTTTTAGTTGATGTTGCTTGATTGGCATTTCCCAACAGATCTCTGATGAAAGCAGTGGTAGGTATCGTAGCATATTGGTGGCTTTTAGGTGAGAAAAAACGTAGTAACCTAAACCAGTGATGACCATTTCATATCTCGAATATTCAAATAACACGGCGGCTACAGAGGCAAATTTTAAAAACGGCTGCTTAATAAGATACCCTTGGAACACTATAAAAATGCCAGCTCTGTGAAAAGAATCACAGTCATAAAAGGAATAACTACGACTAAAATGCAGTTAACACGTTCTAACAAAAGTAAACAACAACAAACAAATTAGAACCAGACCTCTTTCAACACTGAATACAACCTTACCACAAACGTGAGCCGCGCCCTTAGCCGCCAGAATTTGTTTTAGTTGGCCACTTCAATTTCAAAATACAATGCACACCGGCTGAAACATTTAATAGTTTCTCAGTGCTTTATCAGAATTAAAGTGACATTTAAAAATTATACAAATAATAACAGTAGGAGTGGTCGCAATGTTCCAGTTATAAATGCAGTTCAACGGTGAAACACTGATATTGAACAGAAGAAAAAGAAATATCACGGGGTGAAACGTAAGTCGACAACCCTAGGCATATTTTGCACGTACAGCCTACTCCTGAAAGGGATAGTCTTCATGCCTCGTGTGTCTGAACAGAATAACTTATCATTTTTTTTGAATCAGTTGGCCTTGTAAAAACAGTGATATTTACTTTGGTCTGTGTACTCAAATGCGTAGACATCCAGATCACATGAAATAACCGTCGTATCTCAAGTTTTCTCGAACCATTTACTGAGTAGGTGTAGTAGTCTTGCGGAAGATTGGAGACAATTTGGATTCTTTGGAACAAAAATAATCTCAACTACACTGAGGTCAATTTTCTAAATACGTTTTCGATAGACTCTGCCTTATATGATATTCTAAAAACCATACCGCATTTGAGCATTGGACAACTGTGTTAAGTGTACTCAGTAGACATACTATGTCAGAGCAAACGACCTGACTTAATATAGTGAACACTGAACAAAACGTATAATAGGCCGGTAAGCATGAAACATAGTAATAAAATGAATAGTGGAAACTTTCACCGGGTTACTTCGTTATGACTCCCGCGGTTCAGTGGACTTCAAGTAGCTTCAACGTAAACTTTCACCGGAGGGTAAGCTGAAATATGCATCGTGGCCAATTGAAGCGGAGAGAAATTCGTCTATGACGAAAATTAGGAGGCCAGACTAAATCTATGAAAGGGGGGAAATTACTTATATTGATGGAATTTTACTGGTTTCGTTCGGTTATCACCGCCAACTAGAATCAACATTGATGACTACTAATTGGCTAGCGTTCTAATATTCTCATATATATTCACCTGGTTTCATAGTCTTGTCCACCACAACTTAAGCATCGGAATTCTTTTGACATCACCCACTTGCTCAATCGGAAACCTTGAAATAACTCCCACCGGGAGGAGCATTTAGGCAAGGGAAATGTAGGTAAGTTAAAGAGAAACGTCAAGTGTTTCGAACGTTCCATCTTGAAATGGAGTAGCAGAGACAAACTAATCGATCCTTGAGGATGAAATACCTAATGCCGATCAGTCTTCTCATGTTCCTTCGTCCTATGGAATGTAAGACATGATTAAACTGATTAAATCCACCCAGTCTGCCAAGTTTTGACTTTTGAACCGAGAGAGTCATGAATGCGATGGCTGGAATAACGTGAATAGGCCATCAAAGTTGGTTGTCTCCCGGCTTTATCAGCTCCCTTAAGCACAGTGAATAACAATCCGATATTCATATCACTAAACCCTTATATATGGATACGAAAGCGATGCACAAACAAATGCGACAAAAGTTTGATGCAGTTCACAAAATGCAGTAAAATAAATCCATCATTGGGAACGCTGTTTAGTGGTTAATAATTTCCCCAAATTATAGCCTTTCACAACTCAGGGTTTGGAGATAACTTCCACTGTTCAAACCGGCTGGTTAAGCTGATAGTACGCTGTCAAGCATTTCCGCCATTTTTCACACTGTCATATCAAGTTTGTTTGTTCGTGCACACATTCTAACTAGTTTAGTGCTCGCAGAGGTTCTACATTTCTAATTTCGAAATATATTTCGTATATCAGACTGTCATTTTGATTTCATCCTGCTGTTAGTAAAACCAAGTGGTGATGGAGGATAAACACATGCATTCGCATATCGCGTATCTTACTTGTTGAAATTACCCATGTTTCACAAATGCAGTTACGGGTTTGAGCCCAAATCAATGAACACTCGAAGATGTCACTCAGATAATATATGAACAACGAAAATATACTCTGCTGTTACACATGAAAACCAAGATAACGTGGCTCAATGAAAATTTTGGGTAGAGCAAGAAGATTTTGGGCAGCGAAAGATGAGATCACATTTTGCCGGTTACTGTCAGATACATACACCCAAAAATGATTTCGTATCAGTAGGAAAAATATTCAAAGACTTCAGTTGTTGACCATAAAGACGAAATATATTAATATCGCGTGATCAAATAGCCCAATGGAAGGGAATAAAAGCCGCCGTTGAATTTTACCAACTGAATGGAAGTATAAAATCAAGAATATACTTACTTAAGATTCAGAAAATCTAGCTGAACTGAAGTCATAAAAGGGGCTAGTCATGAATAAAGACAAACTTTAGAGTGAAAAGTCACACTGACATTCCCTTCGTCTGTGTGACTCATGAATTGTTACGAGAATACTGTATCACATGAACCTAAAGCTTACCAGATTTCACGCATGGTGGTGAAATGGAGAAAATTGCCTTCAGTACAACCCTGCGATTTGCAGGTATTCACATAGCTAAAATAAGTGAATTCGCAGTTAGCATACACGTATCCTTACCTTTATACAGCTGAACGAGCATCCTTGTGCTCCAAATAAATATCCATGCTGCCTTAACAAAATTGGGTTATAAATGCTCCACTTGAACATAAAGAAAGTGGTAACCTTACGCATATACTGATCAAAGTATTAGTGTTGCATAACAAAAATCATTCTTTCGTTTACGCTTCACTAATTTTTCATGCATAATAATTGATATGGCACCGCCCTTTGTGATACACTGTTTCTGTGGCATATTTACTAACAGCCATAGGCTCAATGCCTGCAGCTGAATTAACGTACATAAGCAAAACTGAACGGCTGCCTTTCGATAACAAAATAATGATATCCTTATTAATTTGAATTCATCAGCAAATGTCCAGAACTCTATAGTGCTTTGGTTTTCTTCACTGACAGTTTGTCTCCATATTTCTATGTCTCTAGAATTGTCGGTGGACCCGCAATTACATTTTTAGTTTTCTAGAAGGTAAATCGCCCATTTATTCTTAAAAACTGCAGTCGACTAAATGATAACATTCCCACAGCCGCATGTCAGTCTAACCTTTCAGAACAGCTAGTATCGGCAATCTGTTTATGCTGGGTTTGCAGTTCCTCTACGAAAATGTATGCTCTGGCCACTCAGATGTAGTAAGTAACTGAGGAATTCAAAAGAACGGGACGAGCAGCCAAGTAGAAACTACATCTTCCTTATAATATGTAGGTCTTTTTTAACTATTTAGTGATGAATGCCTTTCTACGTGTTTGACGCAGTGTCCCTGTTTCACTTGCCCTCTATTGTTTCCAAAAATAAAGGTTCATAAACAACATCAGTCCCCTACAGAATGACGAACCGTTGATCGTTAATCAGAATAACTGTCTTGATAGAAAATTCGGGTTCTAGGCGTCTCCCAAGAACGTGGTAAATATTCACTCTACTGAACAGCGCTATAGAGTTTAAGGTGCAAGAAATCAGTGCAATTAACAGATGCATGCAAGCACGACAATCAGGTCCTGGTATTTAGTGCGCACAAACTTACAGTATTCTGTTGGAAGTGAATATTTACGTAAATGTACGCTGAGAAAAGATGAGCTAGGATGGTGCAGATCATTAAAATTTATTAAGAAAGTCACCAAATAGATTGTTTCTTATTTGTTGTGAAAGGTCTGCTCATCAAATAACACCAAGATCTGAATGTGTAACACTTCTTTCTTTTGAATTGCTTGAGCGTTCAATCGTGATCAGGTGCATTGGTACATACATTTGACAACTAAGCCATATGGTTATTTTGCCACCGTTTTTGCGCATATAATTTTTCCTGCTCTTCACCATTTTCTTTAAACCTAATTACTCAGAATCTTCGATGATATCTTGAATTCAAATGGATGTGAACTGCAGACTCTTTGAAAGAAGAGAATTTAATGTAAAAGCAGCTGTAATACCCTGTTTTCGGCTTCAAGAAAGCTGAACGCTGTAAAAACACGCTAAGGTAAAGAATTTTTAAGGTTCACTGCTACTCGCTGAGCTTTTTTCTCTCTGAATTACTGTATGAAACTGGGTATCCCGGAAAGCAGTCTGTTAGAAATATGAACTAGAAGCCAAAGGAAGTTAATATGTTTGCAGGCCCATGAAAGTGTCGATACTGTCAAAACATTCAGAGTTATTTATCTCATTACCACTAATTTTGACTTGGCTTTGTGAATTTGTTGACTACATACAAAATGAGTGATCTAAATTCACTCGATGGGGTAAATGTTCCCTGAAAGTTTCAAAACTATAAATTGTGTACTTCCATTTATTATTTTTCGGATGGGGAAACTAACTACGATGCTCGAGAGACACTGCATATGATGGAGGCTAAAAGTCATAATTATAATTGGCACTTACATGGGCTGAACATCTTCCCCTTCTCACGACCTCTTATGATGAAAAGCCGACGCATGGCGCCATTTTGTAAAATGCACCATGAGGTCTGGCTACCTTCATAATGTTGATTTAAAGTGGTGTCTATGCTCCTCAGCACAGAAGACAGTAGGTTGCCAACTGTTCGTCTACTTGCGTCGACAAATCTTTCACGAAATTATGTTGCATATAGAAAGTCACTGGCTACAGGAAAGTATATTTCACTCTTTGGCCTAAGATGGGTGCACTAAATAGTTAAAGTCAAACAAAGGAAAGTATAAACGGGATATTCACATGATAGAAAGTATCCGAAACACGCATAGGAGAGAGACAAGCAAAAACCAAAGCTGATTCAGACGCTTTGAGGTAAATGATGTAGGGTAAACAAGAAAACCGCTTAGTGTTGGATATTGACCCCGAGACATGTACACCGTTGGTTTCATGCCCTCTGGTTTCAAAAGTCTGTTAATGAGCGCCAGGTATCCTCCCCCTCCTTTTGAACCCTGCCCAATGGAGATTTAGAAACGATCATCACACCCGGACTGTTGATTTTGGGGAGTATTG